TACTCTGAGGATGTCTGTCAGTACAGACGAAGGCTTAGCACAGTTTCATCGGGGTCGCAGGACGGTGAGTTGAAGACTTCTTAGCACAATTCAGCAGTCTTCCTTACCTGCATTCCTCATTCGCTTTTCTGTGAGACCACATCACGAATTCTTTCCAACCGAATTTTCCTTCGAAATAGAAAATCAGGTCATAATAAAGTGAGGATTATTGGTCTCTTTTTTTCTGTATCGTATTTTCTCCCTAAAGTCATACTTGTTATTTTATGTAATCCAAATTGAAATATGTGGCTAAACTCGAATAATTACAGCTCGAGTACTGCTGGAGTAGGGGATAAGATGGAAAAATGATTTTTAAACTTCACTCCTGTCTGGATATAAGCAGCCTTTCGGAACGCATAAAGAGCTAAATTCATTGCGAGCCTTAAGCATTCTCTTCACTTCTTAGTTCAAAAAGTCGTTATCACTCTGATAGGAATTTAGTAAAAAGTGATACAATTCAAGAAACTTCGGTCTCTTCCCCATTTACCTCTGCATCGTTCGGGCTGTAAATCTGGCCTTAAAGGATTAGGAATTTGTTGGCAAGCTGGAGAATATTGTAAGAATTTGTGCGTTTGGCGCGAGGCATAGTCTTTAGACTCTTCAAAATTTCAAGTTCACTATTTTGTCTTTGCCGAATTCCAGGTCTTATTCGGTTTGTAAAATGCAGGATATCAATAGACTTGCTGTGTGATAATGGATTTGAGATCAGATTTGTAGAATAAGACGGAGTCGGTAGAATGGTCGGTAGAAGGTAGTAAACTTCATTTACTGTTCCCAGTTTGTATTTCCAACGATCTGGTATAAAAGGCTCTAACAAGTAAATTATAAGGTAGGTTAAAATTAATATTATTTATGTAAAATGTAAAATAATCAAATAGCCCAAAATTGAGATGAAATCGACATCGTTTCGATAGAGAGTATCTTGAAGACCGATTTTTATAGATTTGTGCTTCAGAACTGATTCTGAATAACAGCCGCCTGATCTTTTGATGACCTTCATTTTTTAACCATATCGCAAGTTTTCATACCTCCCTTAGTAGAAAGGACCCTACAGTACTTTCAGTGAGTATACAATGTAGATTTAATCAAGTTTGGATTTAACTCACTGACGATGCCGGCGAAGCGTCTGAGAATATAGCAAGTCTACGGTCCGACGCTTAGAAGTATAATACCTACTATAGCAAGGAACTTAGGACAAGATACCTCCAACCCAGTCGCCCTAACCGCATGATCAAGTTGGGAAAACGAGGTCAGATCACATCTATACATCGAAGGGAGACTGCGACCAAAATGGCAGCCACAAATTCTTGGTCTTTGTATCTAGCTTATAACATGTCCCCACTTTAAACGTTGCAGCACAGAGCATCCAAGACTCATCTACGATAAATAAAGTTGAATCTGATCGAACTTCATCAGAGCCGAAGTTATATGCAACAGACTGTATGATCCTAATCAAAGCTTAGGCTTAGATTCTAGATTAGTCAACCCATTTTTTGACTCATTCTTTATCTTTATTGGTATATTGCTATAAAATATAACTTTTTATAAATAGCAGAAGGGGGTGAAATCGTGGGCTGCCGATGTGATGGAGAATCTGATGAAACTGGAAAAATTTTAAAACTTTTCTTCAACCTAGTTTCATTAGAAACGTTGTCTTTTTTCCATTTATCTGAGCGAGTTAAATATCATGAAATTATTTGGTTCATACTAATAGAGGAAATGCATTTATTGACCTTAATAATAATGAGGTGATTGGTGAACTGAGAACTATATTCACTCCATTTATTTTATGGAGATGAACGACTGGTAGATGAATTTTTTCACAATTATGTGAGTAGGCCTCGTGTTTCGATTGAATTGTATAGCCTTTCCTTTTAAAATGTATTCTAATCCATTTAGGACTAGAATGCAGTTTCGAACTTGTCTGAACTGGTCTCTCAGCTCCCCCAGCGGGACCCTAAACCCGCTTATGAGAGTTCATCTCAGAGCTTCAACTCTTTGTCCACTGCGCCAGAATTCTACTAGTGCCCTTGAATTACAGGGCGAATATCCAATTAAGAAAAGAGAATTGGTGTAGTATACCAAAATATTATATCTCTGTATATAAGGCAAACCAAATATTTCTATTTGAAGCCATAATGATGC